TACATCCACGAGGCTGCGCAGATGATACGATTGGCTCTGGAAAATGAGGCCTGCGGTAGCTTTGAGGCAGCGTTTGGGTACTACAAGTCTGGTGTAGAGATGCTGCTGAGGGGAGTGCAGAGTAGGTGGTTTGATTGTATCATTTAGAACGTAAAATTTCAAAACAATGAAAATGAAAGAACAGAAAGAGTGACTGTAAAGAGCTAATTTTCAGCAAATAAGGGATTCAGTTTGTCTCTGATCTATTCTTGCCATCTTTTCTTTACAATGTTGTGTTGGTGATGTGACATGACCTTTGTTATGTTTAAAGATGACACCAACAAGACCAGACGGGAGGCTGTCCGTAGGAAGACAGCCCAGACCTGCTGCGAGCAGAAGACCTGTATAACAGACAGCTTCCTGGGACAACAGTGAACAGCAACAGATGGGCGGTAGGTCAGCAACATTGAGCTATGTAAACGTTTCCCTCGTCATTATGTTGCAACAACATGCAGAGGAGACATGCAAGGGATAATGTCTGTAGTCTACATTGGTGGCATTTTTGTTAACTTGATGAATCCATTGTTTACAATGTATATCTGTTCCTCTGGTCTGTCAGACGGACAGTGTGGACCTGGACCCAGTCACTGCACATCTGTGTGGGCCAACTTCTGACCTTCAGAAATACAAGGTCATAGGTGTGGTTGACAAGGTGAGTGCATCAGTGTCTGTCTATGATGTGTTAGAACTCTTGTGTTTTGTGGAATTTCGAAGGATCAGTTCTGTAGATTTTTTTCCTGTTAATGCTTAGTAATGGTTTAATGGAATAATGGTTTCTGTTCTTTGCTTTTATAGGTTGCCTTAGTGATTGACATGTCCACCAACAACACATACGTAATCAAGGCAAGTTCTCCAGAGTTCCTCTTATTTATATTAACACGTCTATAAAGTCTACAATGGGATGTAAAGACAAGACTGTTTTTGCAGAGTATGACAGTCTGTTATACATTTATGTGTTTTATACTGGAATTGACAATATGTTTTTTGGACATGTTTTAGGTTCTCCAGAAGGATAGCGGTGACCATACATGTCAGAAAAGTGTAGTTCCTGCCAGAATTCCCTACATGGTCCAGCTGCACTGTTACTACACCACCGAGCATGCCGTCTTTCTTGTGCTGGAGTATGCAGCAGGTACTTCACGGCTTTTGTGATTGTTTTTGACTTATCATGATTCTGATGGTACCAAGGTAGTTTCTACATTAATTTTCTACCTCCTTAAGTATGATTTCTTGTTAAACTTTGCTGTTTTAGGAGGAAAGCTGTGGAGCAGCATCAGTGGGTACCTACACCAGCACAGCACCTTTGGGCCGGACAGTGGGGACTTCCAAGAACGTAGTTTGGAGGAAGGCCTGCATGCCTCCCACGGCAGGACTTCCAGCACTGTGGACCACGTGTCCGGCACATCCAGCAATAAAACGCTCAGCCCAAAACGTCAGCCATCTCTCAAGTCCATGGACAATCCTTTAACTGAGAATGGTACGTCACCAGAAGACTTGTTACTGGCACAGATTGATAAAGAGTTGCAGTTGGAAAAGACCACAGATGACAACAAGGATGCTCCAGCTGTGGATGATGACCTAATGGCAGGGCCGGAGCCGGTCAGCAGCTACGTGGACTTGTTCCACCAGTACGAGAAGGAGCGGGATCGTGCCAGCAGCTTCTCTAGTGAACTCGCCAGCCCTGTGTACGGGGATGAGTTTGTGTTTGACGACAGACACAGAAGTACGACCGCACTCAGCAGCGACAGTCTGATATCCCCAGTAAAACTGCGAGACAGAGACTCTTCCTTTCTTAGTGATGTTGGTGATGTGTCCACCACGCTTGTGCAGGAAGACTACAGCGAGGAGCCAACACACAGCAGCAGTGGTACGTTTCTCCCCAGTAAGATCCCCAAAGCAGACATGGAGGTGTTCAGTATTGAGAGTATGGAGGAGGAAGACTTAACGTCCCTCCTGGAGCAGAACAAGAAGAACGACGAGTTCAGGAGTATTTATGACTCAGTTGTTGTTGAGGAGAGTGAGATGGAAGGAGACCCTTTTGCCCTTGGCGAAGGTGAAGAGCTTGGAGCGGAGGAAAAGCAGCATGCAGATAGTCTTAAAGAGAAGACAGAAAATGATCAAGATATTGAGTTATCTTCTCATAATGATACAGGTTTCAATGATGAAAATATTCATGGGATGATTAAATGTGTAAAACAGGATTCTCCAGAAGAAGGTTCAGAGTCAGAGTTAAACAGATCAGGAGGGAAAAGGATAGTGCTAGAAGAACTGGAAAGTGAAGGTCCTTCAGAATGCAGTGAACAAACAAACGTTACAAACAAACATGATGATGGGACCAAAAGAGACAAGGAAACGGACTCCTGTAGACCAACCATTATTGATGCAAGTCTGAATGAATCGGAACAGGAAGGAGACACAATTCTCCCAAGTATAGGTTCCCTTGTATTGGATGGTGTTGGTGAGTCCTCACACACCTTGTCACAGCCTTGTGAAACAGGTACTTTGTCTTCAACCATACCACAGTCGAACCCTGATTCCACAGGGGTGCCTCCGGCAGGGGAGGAGTCCAACCCCTTGAGTGAAGAACAGCAGAAGGTTCTGGATAAATTGATGCAAATGCGACCTGCAGGCAGGAAGCATTCTTACAAGAAAGGTTCGTACAACATCAGAGTGAATCCTCTGGAGGAGATGGACAGGGAAGAGGAGGGGGAGGAAGTCTTTCAGTTAGAATACCCCCCAGTACGGCTGGACATTGACCCCGACGATACCCCTATTTTGAACACAGGAACCTTCAGCACTACTGTAGCACTGGAAGGTGACACAAAATCCTGTGTGATGATTCACAAGGACACGACAAGCTCCATCCCCAGTCTGCCTGTAACACCTGTCAAGAGAAGGTCCAGCACTGGCACCTCAAGTGGGTCAAAATCTCCTGGATACATCTCACCAAAGTTGTCACCACATCAGAGCCCTCTGAAACAAACATCATCAGGAGGCCACAGAAGGACTAGTGGAGATAGTCAGAGAGAAGGATTGGATTCTTCTGACACTAACAAAGCAAAAGAAATGCATTCAAGAGAACAGTCTGCAGGGAATCGTGTTCTGGAGGAGAACACCAGGCATGTCCCTGATACATCTGAACAGTCCCCAGAACAGTTCAACATTTACTCAGGAAGAAGGGATGAATCATTTATGAATGAGGGGGAGGATGTGCAGGCGAGGAAAAGGACAACTTCTGTCTTGTTTTCACATCTGGATAAATCAGCTAAATCGTTCCAGGGCCTGACCCTGCCAGAGCCGTGTGTCAGACAGTGGGCAGCAGAGATCGTTGTTGCCTTGTCCAAGCTCCACACCAGAGGTATCATCTGCAGGTGAGCCTCCTTCTTTTATTTATCATTTCCAAAGCTGCGGTTTTGTAGCAATGTGCAATTGTTCCTTACTCTTTCTGTGTTAACTTAATGTGTTGACATTATCATAATCATGGCATTTCATTATGCTGTCTTTTGTTTTTATCCCATCACAGAGACCTGAGCCCAGACAATGTGCTGTTGAGCGATAGGGGTAGGTTTGACTTCAATCGATTGCAGCTATACTTTTGAAACTTTTGAATTAGATAATGATTATTGATAAAATACTGGTCCAACAGGTCCCTCAAACAGCTGGAAATTTGTATAATTGATATACTGAGATGTAAAGACACCACACATGAAGATGTACAAAGTTAACACAGCGCCCATCTCATCCCTTCCCAGGTCACATCCGTCTGACCTACTTCAGCCAGTGGACCAGTGTGGACAGGTCCTTCAGCTGGCACTCCAGTGAGCAGCTGTATGTGGCACCTGGTGAGTTCATATTGGGGAATACAGTTTCTAGGTTCCATGGCAGCCTTCCACTTGCACTTGTCATTTGAAAGAGCAAGATTTCCCTCACCAAGGACATTATGGTGTTTTGAATTTGAATTTGAGTTTTCAATTGTGAATTTGTTATTACAGTGGGAGCCAGTTAATTGCAAAACGCTTATAAGAAAAAGTCTGCTAATTGAAAAGAATTGTGAAAACCCAAACCGTTTCCCATTGGCGCCATTGTTTATCGCGCCCCTTATTTGAAAAGCCAAGGTCGGCTAATTGAAAAAAAAATTCAAGTTGCAACACATTTTCAACCAAAAACATGCCAAACAAATCACCAAAATCGGCGGAAAAATTCTTATATCAAGACATCAAGCCGCCAAAAGGGACGAAGTTGTCTGTTTTGAACCACAAAGGAGGCCGAAATTTACGTTGATCGAGCGGTCGGGCGCACGTCGGCACTAACGTAATGAGAAGCGCGAGCCGGTTCATAGCCGCCAAATGCGGCATGCTTTTGTGTTGTTTTAGCCTGTTTATTCCAAGAACGTTTAATTTCTCATACAACTCATTTTTTAATCATTAAAACCGTGTCTCTACTTGTGTATTGTGCCTTTATTTTGAGTTTATTTCGACTGCGACACGGCGCTATCGCCGCATCAACACGCCACTGAATGTGCCGCGAAAAAACACCGCATGGAATGATGGGATACTGCTACCCACGCCGCGTCCGCCATCTTTGTTTACTTCCCTGAACGCTAATGCGAATGATCCCCGTCAACTATCGCAAATTTCCATGTAACCTACGGACATCGTGAGCTAAAAAGTCATTAACATTGAAATGAACAGTTTATTGTTGCATTAGTTACGATAATTTTCGTGTGCTAGCCGGAGTTTCTGAAAATCAAGCGATCGAAGTGATCCTTTGTGCTATCGACTGCTTTCATGACGATCGTGTGCATTTATGTCTGTACGCTACTTGATTGAAGTTTTCCGTTGATCAAACTTTATTTTTTGCTACTTTTGTGATGTAAAAGTACGTACAGGCTGAGCATTGTGCATGTATTCGTTGATTCTTTTGTACGTAGCAAACGTAGCATTGTTTATTCGTTCGAGTGCCTGCCGAGAGCACATGATGTCTAACGTATCACAGCGTTCTTCCAGCCTTGGAAAAAAATACGTAAACGAAAAAAATACGTCGACGAAAAAAATTACAAGCATATTTACCGATCTCAATAAAGTTCACTGTTTTTAATGCGTGAATATGACTCGTGTTTGTATTCTTTGTGTCGTTATTTGTGTTCGATGCCCTGTCCACCCCCCACCCCCATGAGTTTCAATGAAGTCCGAGAGTTTGAGCCTCAGAGTCTCTTAATCGGAAAGACCGGGTAATTGAAAAAAATGTGCTGACAAATTGGCTTTTCAAATAAGCGGCTTCCACTGTAGTATGGATGTGGGAAATGGTTAGAACAAATTTAGTGAAGTGAAGACTTATTAGTCTGCTTTCATTTAATTTTGTTGAAAATGGCTTGTACTTGAAGATTTGTATTTGTCTCCATGCTACAGAAGTGGCAGGTGTGTTCAGGGTGACGCCGGCCTGTGATTGGTGGAGCCTTGGGGCTTTGTTGTTTGAACTTCTCACAGGAAAGGTCAGTTATTTCCCTTTGAATAGATATTGAACAGACAAAATTCAATTTCAACATGTGTGGGTACCCCACTGGGTGTTGCCTGGCAGTAACAATAACATAGAATGATAAGGACTTCACTTGTTGTAATGCCCCACTTATCAGCCTTCTGTTGGTACATACAGACATTGCTGGGGTGCCATCCAGCAGGCATCACCTCCCACACCAGTCTGAACATCCCGGAGCACGTCTCCACCGAGGCGCGGTCCCTCCTGCAGCAGCTGCTCCAGCCTAATGTCTCGGAGAGGCTGGGCAGCGGGATTGACGGGGCAGAAGACATCAAGGCTCATCCTTTCTTTAAAGACATCAACTGGGAAGAGTTGAGAGAATGAGAAGAAATTGTGACCTTGTTACATGATTGACCACCCAGTTCCCCACAGTCTTCTCTGTATGGGGAAAACCAGGTCATGTGCATAAAGTATGGATGAAAAGAGAGCGGATGATAATTATGGTAAAACTTTCTGTCGTGGGGTGTTGTGACTGGTATCTGTGTTATCCACATGTTACATGTGTGAATAGCACAGACATACATGTGCAGCTCACTACTGGAGACTGTCCCAGACAAGTCTTCAAAAGTAAGACAGCACAGAAAGTCTGTGTGTGGTCTGAATAAAAGAAATTTACTGTAACAAATGAAAGTAGGCTCTGGATTTGTCCAGGCTAGCTAACATCTACTCTCATAATACTGCCATTAACAGCACAACAACATACATGTAATAGCACCAAAGTTTTAAAAAAGCAATGAATTGAATGGCATCTACTATTGCATTTTCCCAGTCTTTGAAAATTGCAATATCCTTTTATTTATCAGAAACACATAGCATAAATGGCAAAGTTAATCTATAACCGACATTAACTGACAGTATTGGAAAAAATTATAGGTTACCCCATTGCATAGTGTAAACTGGTATAAACAAGGTGGTTTTATGAGAATACAAAGATGTTAATATAGTACAAACATACTACCAGTAGTGTGAATGGCTAGTGACTCTTGTGATATGAGCAGGGTACAGTTTCAGATACATGTAATGGGTGTTATCAGCACTGTTGGCCTACTGTAACAGATATAGCACAAGCACTTGCTGCACAGCTTTATCTATGGCTGATTTGGATCACGGTGTGAAATATTCCAATCAAGTTCACATATCATGTCTGACAATGTCAATACACAGAACCATTTTTTTATAGTCCAGAAAGTGCCATATGCCATAATATGGTCGTAGAGCCAGTGTTTGACCTTGCCATTTTCATGTACAAGTAACACAGATGTACAGATATATTGTATATAATGTTAATGCTTAGAAGCTGTTGTATTTGGTACATGTAAAAGACGTCAAAATTGTATCGTTCCTTTCTTTGTAGCAGAGTTCAGTTTGGAAATGTGACCTCAGCATTAGACAGCTTTCTGTGTTTGCAGCAACAGATTTTGAAGCATTGGTTCTACAAAAATTGCTTTAGTCTCTCAGAAATTATGGTGTCGAAATGGTATTGATTTTCCAAAAAATGTCCTACATTTTTAGTTGCTTGATCTAAAATGCACATACCCACCTACATTGTAATGTGTTGGTCACAGTGTTGTAACAGCTGGTGTCCCCCAAACTTCGAATTCATAGCCTGGCTGAGGCTTACATGTAGATTGCCTACCCCCCCCCCTACAGGCCCCATTGCAATTGTTACCTAGGCATAAGTGACCAATGAAATGCTCTGTTGGTAACTAAGGAAGTTATTCACATAATGATTGCTAGGCTATAATAAAACCTTGTTATCTGGTAGGACTTCTTTCTTGTGACATATGTAAATTAGGCACATTATGTAAATTAAGATATAATCAATATAGACATGCCATGATTTTTTGAAGCAATGATAAGAACTTGATACTCCTACCACATATAATGTATTTTATTAGGTACAAATTAAAATTATACAGCATAAATATTAATATGCAAATTAGAGTGTGACTCTTGAGATATGAAAGAGGATGATCATTAACTGTGGAAATAGATCTACTGGTAAAAGGTAATATAGGCCACACAGACTTGATTTTATGTATGACATCCATGTATGCATCAATTTTTGCTTTGTTTTTCTAAAGAAAAGGATATAATACCCACTTGAACTAATTTGGCAAATATTAACCTCAGCATTTTTACCATGTACAATAGCTCTGAAAGGAAGGAACAGAACAAAAATATGCAATACACATTGACATGAAGCAATGCCTTACAATATGTAACATATCAGATATGAATTTTGTGTTAATAATGACAAGTTCTTGTTCCAAGAAAATTCCATGTTTCTTTAAAATTGCCAAGGAATACGTGTAACCGTTACTCTTTGTTAAGCCTTTGTGTATCATGAATGTCCCATGCTTAATGTTGTCAAAGCTTGTGCAATCCTCTGCCATTGAGACAGTAAAGATGAGATATTAATGTAGCAATACCAGTATTGTTTCTTGTCAATGCACGTTTTCGTTTGTATGTTACACATTAGTCTAGCAAAATGTCATTTTCTTGTTAATTGGTAACCACATTGTGCGGTTGCAAATGCAAAATGAACTGGTGCAGGAATAAACCCTCAGAAATTCGTGATATCAGGTAGTCGGACCTCAATGTCAAGAACAAGAGCAGGAAGGACCTGAAGTGAAAACCCCGTAAGAGAGCATCTCGTTTCACAACTCGAAATGGCCGAATCTCGGGAGTGAGGGCGTAACGTTGTTACCGATATACGTATACGGCCGTTTCGGGAGCGGTTTTTTCTTAATTTTAGAAAAATGAAACTTTGGACAATTCTCGGCTTCCTAGTTTACAGACTGAGTATACTATTTACGGTCTCAAGTCTATTCCTGCTTATCATGCCTTCTGTCACATTTGCACATTTCGTGGTCGAAAACCAAGCATATGTCTGACCAAGGAGGTTAAAAGAGAGAAGGTCTGACGTAACCAACACCATACTATGGCAATCCCCAAGCAAGTTACAATTTTACCTCCCACCATCTGCTTGATTTTCATTCATAAGGGAAAATTTGGCTTCTGCAAAGGATGCGAATATTTTCAAATAATAAGATAACGTAAAAGCATGTTCATGTTTTAGTGTAGTAGTAGGTCTTATGCACTTCGTTCCTGCTGGGATTGATGTTTTGGCACAACCACGTGCTTGTGTTTTGCAATGACGTCATACCATTTAAACACCCTTGGTCACACAGAGCCGCTGTTAATTTTCCTGAAACTTGTGCATTAGAGCCAATATGTTGCTTGGATGAACACTAAGATGGTTTAGGCTTGGTTTAGGGACTACATTAATTTTGCGATTTGGGTGTTACATGGACCTTTGCATGCAAATCTTCGTGACGTCATCATGTTGTGACTATAAACCAGCGGAGCTGTTGTTTTCGAACCAGAGCTAACGTTACCAGCTTCAGAGAAGCAGTCTGACTGGGCGTATTTGTAGGTTTAACTGCTATCCAGGAAGATATCCGTGTAGCGTGGAGAGCCATGAAGGCAGATAGCGGAAACGCTGCAGCTGCAGCCGAGTATTTCTTCGACGAGTACGAGTACTACAACTTCGACGACTTCGAGAAGCTGTTCGGCCACTCCTCGGGGAAGGGGCGCACCCGCCGCGAGGCCGAGCTGCGCACCAACCGCCACGACCCGAACGGCCACGTTCGCAAGGTTGTCACCAAGATGCAGAACACCGAGAAGAACAGGAGACTGGGCAGGAAGAAGTGACGGACGCTGGAAGGTGAAGATGCATTTGCTTGCTGTTTATATACTGCATATAATGAGGTAGCCTCAAGGTATATTTTGTGACGAAGTGGAAGATGGCAAAATATGGCGGCCCTGTGAGGGTTTGCGGAAACACTCGGCTTGGCCAGGTCTGGCTACCAGGCCACCTTTGTTGTCGCAGGACCAATTTGTATTATAATATAAAATCCTGATAGAAAATATTTGCCCACCAACCTTTTTTGTAAAAGGTTTGTCTTTTCTTTTTTTGTCTTTTCTTTTCTTTTCTGTATGCTTGATCTGGTAACAAACCACTGTACAGTTGTACCCATATAATGTGACTTTCCAAGGAAAGGTCAATGATTTGGGTATTCCTCAAATTATTGTCTACATTTCCCCCTATTTTGTAGTGTTCAAGTCATACTGGTGGCTTACAATGCAGGAATCGCCTTTGTAGATGGCAACAAGAAATAAATTCAAACTTGTCTTGGATGCAAATTTCTTTCTGCTTTAGTCTGTGTTTTTTAAGAGTAAACATCCTTTGAAATCCACCCAAGTTTAAATCAACCAGCTGGGTACGTCACCCCTACTAGATTGAGTAATTTGAGTAACGTGAAATGTGTTTAAGGTTTTTAAATGGCTCGCTTTCTCCTTCCATATGCGGCATGGTAAACAGAACTGCTGAAGGCTAGAGCTGATGAGAACCACGCACACCTGGAGCTGACCTGATGCTGTTGGGACACGGTGCATGTAGCCAGAGGAACCAGTCTGGGGCAGTCTGAACCAGTTCCAGTCCAGGAATGTGCTATTCTACAATGCTGCATTACTTTAACCTTTTTCTGGCTGGTTGTTGTCTGGTCTTTTGACTAAATTTGGACCACATGATCACAGATTCACATTGTAACAATGGTGTAGCACTAATGATAAAATAAATGCTTTCAAGGGTTTAATTTCTCACATTAGGCTATTTTCACATTAAGCAATTTTCATAAACTGTCAGTCAGGCTAGGTACTACTAGTATATAGTGTCAGGCAATCTTACAACACTTCACACCTTACTTATAAGTTATTGATATGTAAAGAGGACTGGTACATGTCTGACATAACGTTGCTTGAAGTCAATACTATGTGGCAATCCATGTATGTATAACTATAAGTGTAAAAGTGTATATTTTCAGCTCTGCTGCCATAATATTAAACTCTAATGAAATTGCATTTTTGGTGGTCAATCAACTAAATGTGTGCATGCATGATCTTCCTACTGGTAGTACATGCACTAGTACTTAGCAAGTCCCTTTGAAGGTTTTTTTACCAAAGTTTGGTTGTTTTGTCTTCAATTAAAGATGTAAGAACCCATTTGTTGATAAAATGTTACATACCTTGGTACAGATTTTGAAGGAAATCACTTCTATATTTTAAAAAAATGGAAAATGGCAGAATATAGTTTTGCCCATTCATAAAAAGGAAAACTTTGTTAACAATATTTTGAACCAGACATCTATATTTGAATCTGTATGACCACCCTTAAGCATAATGTAATCAAACGCATTCCATAAGGTGCCAGCCCGGCTCAACATCTACTATTCAACACTCTGTCACACCTACAGGTACAAGTAAACTGGTATACTAGTACATGTACAATCATGTTCAACTAAATAAAATAAATGTAAATTCTTTTTGTTCCACAGGGAGACATTCTTAGTTCTCATGTTTTCTTTATTTCATTTTCATATGATATATACAATGGTTATATAATAAATATATTTACTGAGTCAGATCATCCACACTTGGCACGTGTTGATATTAACCCTGCTAACTTGAAGATAGCTTTTTTGTATTGTTAATGACTTTTGTCTTAAAGAAGCAATTGTTAGAACAATCACTTTTTGGAGTAGAAAAGGAAACTGGTCATTAAAACTTTCCAGGTGAGGTCCACAAAGTATGTATGTAAGATGTAGTTAGGCAGCAGGGAGATGATTAGATCATAGGCAGGTGATGATGAAAACACTAAACATTATACTACTGAAGGGTGATGGAGATTGTGAAGCTTCTCGTCAGTCCTGATCTGGTAGCTGTCCCACAATGCCACACTGCAGGCTGCCAACAGTCTCCATCGTGGCACCTGTAAAGATGGTGGGGTGTAAAGTTACATATGGTTCAATATCTGCATCAAAACACATGGATGTATCACTTTGGAGTATCACTTTGCAACATACATTAATAAAGGGTTAATGCACTGCCCCGAGTTGTATATGGTGTCATAACTGCATGAGCAGCTGCCATAACCACCGAATAAACCACCGTGTGAGCGAAGCGAACGAGGTGGTTTATGAGGTGGTTATGGCAGCTGCCCATGCAGTTATGACACCATATACAACGAGGAAAAGGCAGTGCATTAAAATTATTATCATATAGCCTATCCAAACTGTCAATCAACACAATTCCTGTTTGAAATACAACAGCTTTGATATATATACATACATAAAAATACATTCGAATATATTATACGCTTTAAAACAAATATGGATAATTTCATTTAATGCAAATTGTAGTTTAAATGAAGCTAAACAAAAAAGTTTATTGGACAGAAAAATGCTACAAAGGTTTACAGAAAGAGTCGCATGCCCCTATACCCTATAACATAATGGTATCAGCCATAACACGACATGTGCTGTTATTCCGCCATAACACCACATGTGCTGTTATCGGGAAATAACAGCACGGGTATCCGGGCCTCTGATTGGTCCACGCCGTCCGGCTATATGATAATGCTGCATAATGTACAGAATGAAGTTTTATTTGTGAAATTGGATGAATACACTAGCTTGAAGCTATTGAAGGGGTGAAAATGTTAAGGGAGACCAATAAAGCCTCGGTCACAACCCGCCCTGCGAGCTTTTTCTCCGTACGTTTTTTGGGAGGCTACGTCTGCTACGTTTTTTCTGAAAATGTGGGGAAGGAGTGGTGTCGACGCACGTCACTCGCACATCACTCGCACGGTTGCACAAAGTGTAAGAGTGTGGTCTGCACACCAAGTCTGGCCGTGAGCAGTTGTGTGCATCGTACGTTGCGTAAGTGGTAAGTGAGTTGTGCGTGCTTACAACATACGATCTCTGTGCGATTGCCGTACTCACACGTGCTTCTTCCGCACGGCACGTACGGGGCACGCGCGTCGCTCGTACTCGCACGCACGGGTGGTGAATCCGCAGACCGCACCTAGAAAAAGTTTTACATGCACTTAAAGTTCTACGGGTGTCTGCGTGCTCCCAAATCCGTAGAATTCCGTACGGAGGCGGTACTCACCACACACGGATGCCCTACGTTTGCCCACGTTTTTGCACGTAGACAGCACGCAGAAGCACGTACGGCGGGTTGTGACCGTAGCTTAAAGCAGTGTCTTTACCAGTCATAACTGCCTTGTAGAGTGTAGACCCCTGTCCTCTGGTGTCCAGTGGGTCCTGAGCTACGGCCAGAAATAGCTGGCTGCCAATGGGCAGTGGCTGGACACTGCGTGCACCGTGGGCTGGAATGGTCACTACAGGGAGGAAACCACTCACACCTGGGAGGACAACAATGGAACAATGGAAAATGTGTACCTGAAACAGGCATTGTGCATTGTGGTTGACATACGTACTTCGTGGAAGGTTTGTTTCTGTTCCACCTCCACCAGATGCAATACTAGATGGCCGCTTCACAAACACACATAAAACACATCCTTACATCTGCTTGGAAATTAGGCTTTGGAGTTTTACACTGTTCCTATGAGCTATAAGGCTGATCTTCAACACAGCAGATTATACAGTCACTGTGCTATACTTGTGTTGACCACTGAATAATAGATGTTACAGTACTGTAGCCCTGATGTTGGCACTTACTAGTAATTAGTTAAGTTACAGTAGTAAATATATATTATTACAATGTACTAACAATTTCAAAAACTACATGTAAAGCTAAGTTGGTATCAGTCATTCCTCCAAACATTCTTATTGCACTTGACTGGGTATACAATTAACTGTTCTCACGTGATGAGACCAGTTCTCATGGCAAATCATTGGAAGCTACTATAGTATTGGATATACAGGTACGTACGTGTAGATGCCCTTTAAATTCCACGACATGTACATACTAGTGAGTCCATGTCTGTATTACCTTTGTTGCATGTACACTGTGACTGCAGTGTTGAGGCTCACTGCAGCTAAGTAGTTGTTATTTTTCCAATGAAAGACTGCCACATCCGATGCTGCCTCAAAGTGTATAGTCTGAGTCCACACAAACTCAGACCTATCCTGAGACCATTGATACACCTAATAAAAGAAATATCAGTTACAAGACAGGGCATTTTCAATTGTAGGTCTCTAAATTAGTTGTGAGCCAAATTCCTGCACATAGTTTCATGGTTTGGAACAGACTGACCCATCTGTTTTCATGTTGATCTTCCAGTTCAGTATATTATTCTATTAGCAAACCTACAAAATGAATTGGTCAGGCCTACAGTGGCTACCTTGATGTGCAAGTTGTAGTTGTTGATGCCAGCCAGGCCCACTTCATACATGTCAGCCACCACCACATGGGGCAGGCCGGCCAGGACAAAATGGACCACATCGGCTGCACTACTGGTGGGGATGATCTGTAAGGACTGGAACTGGCTCTGGAATGTAAAGAATCATCAAGCTTCGAGTATATCCCCCAAATATAGCCCCATACCAGATTCCAACCCTTGGTTACCTATATAGACATAATATATGTAGACTATTAGCAAACGCTTGCCCACCTTTTCATCATCATATACAAAGACCTGGGTCTGCAGTTCTCCAAACAGCTTACTGTTGGCATACACCAGGAACTGTGTACCGTTGTACTCAAAGGCATCCACAGATACTGCCTCTGAAACAGTGGAGGGGGAAAAGCAGTTAATAATACCAACTGGCTGATTGATACAGATATTAAATGGGCCACTATTAATGCTAAAGTAAAGGTAAACTGTTGACTGATCCATCTAGTGCATATGACCCTCACTATATGCATGAAAACCCTGCAGGTACAAACCCCACCTGCAGTTGGAATGCTCCAGTGCAGCTCAAATTGCTGATCCTCTTGATTAAACTTGAAGATGGTTGACCTTCTTCCACCATCGTCACTGTTGGCCACTGCCAGGTAGGTATCAGTTCCCAGCCTAAAGGACACAAAGTCCTTGGCTCCATGTGTAGTCAGGTTCTGGTAGGGGGTGAAGGTTTTCATCCTCACATCGTATTTAAAGAGCTGGGAAACATTTGCTGAGAGGCCTGGAGAAATGAAACATGGTCCACTGAATGTCGCTGATTCTGTATTGGTTATTCAACTTGTAAGCTGTGCTACATGTACAATGTTTCTTACAACATGAAAAAGGATGCTTTTTTAGCTTCCTTCCACTGATAAAATAGACTTTGACTCACCTTCGGGGCAACTCTGTAGTGCTTGGTTGGCAATCACAAGGAAATGATCAGAATTGTCCCTGTCAGTGATGTTAAAATAGTGCCACAGTCTCGCTCCATTTGTCACTTTACTGTCTGTTGAAAAATCATATGTAAGAGCCTATGAAAAAAAATGAACTGATAGTCTTCGTATAATGTCACCAACATTTATCAAAACACTTTGATAAGTACAAAACCAGCAGAAAAATGACAGAAACATTTACACTGTGAGATTTACAAAGGTCTGGCTTCAGGAATATTTCAAAGCAGCTAAAAAAAACACCAGCATGACAGGAGCACATTCTGTAATAGTTCAATATACTACTGCTGTGGCACACACATTGGCATAACAAGTTGGGGTATACCATATCCTCTAAAACAAAAATCACACCAATGGGAATACCTGCCTGTTGGAACAAACTGACTAGTATTCACATCCCAGTTGTACAGTGGGGAGGGGACACAGAAACCACTGTCGTCCCTGAAGTTAGCAGCAGCCAGCCATGTCTCACCCTCCATGTCAAAGGAGTGGAAGCTCCTGGCAGCATGGAGAGGGAAGGACTGGGCTTTCACAAAGTGGTGAATGACTTCCATGGAATCTAGTGAAACAAAACAATAATTTATCATCATAATGAAAATAAACCTTTTACAATTAGCACTAGAAATTGTGTTGAAATAAATATACATGCCATGGATGCAATAGTACCACATCTATCAGTTCAATTCATCCTCGTGGAACCACATCTATAGACAAATTCAAGTCTCACAGTTATGTCTCATTTTTTTACATTACTAGTTTAAAGCAGTATAAATCACATGAAAACAGAAAAAAATCAGACTCCTCACGATTCAACTTTAGCTTAAGTTTCCCTACCTTTTGTAGTGTAGTGCAGGGTGTTGATGTCTTGACATTGTTGTAGTGCCTTCTCTTGCAGTTCCACTGTCTGCTTGTGGACAGTCTGGAAATGTACGTAACTAAACTTGTGGATAAGGAAATAAAAACTACATACCCTGGGTACGGGTGCAGAAGACCAGGGAGATGGGAACCAACCATCATGCTGTAATGTACAGGGACAACAATACATACATTGTACTTACATTGTAACAAGTCTGGTGGTTCTGCATGACCTTCTCCAGATCAACCCCATTCACAGCACCATTGATGACCACCTCCTGCTGGAAGACCACGTCCCTTAAGAAGACTACATTTCCATGGATTGTCTGGTCAGATGACAGCCTTGGGTCAGTCATCAACTTGACTAAGTCTTGCCCTGCAACTTGGCCTGGAGGAAATTGGACACAGGTTTGTGAGTGACAGGGAAACAGCAGCTACATGGACTGGGAAACAGCAGCTACAGGGACAGCAAGACATTCAGCATCAGGGACAGGGAATCACTGTCAGCACCAGGGACAGAGAACACAGTCTGCACCAGGGACAGGGAAACACAGTCAGCACCAGGGACAGGGAAACACAGTCAGCACCAGGGACAGAGAAACACCAGGGACAGGGAAACACCAGGGACAGGGAAACACAGTCAGCACCAAGGACAGGGAAACAGTCAGCACAAGGGACTCGGAAATACCATCAGAGACAGGGAAACACGGTCAGCACCAGGGACAGGGAAACACAGTCAGCACCATGGATAGGGAAACAGTCAGCACAAGGGACTCGGAAATACCATCAGGGACAGGGAAACACAGTCAGCACCAAGGAGAAGGAAACAGTCAGCACAAGGGACTCGGAAATACCATCAGGGACAGGGAAACACAGTCAGCACCAAGGACAGGATAATACAGTCAGCACCATGGACTCGGAAATACTATCAGCACCAAGGACAGGGAAACAGTCAGCACAAGGGACAGGGAAACACAGTCAGCACCAGGGACAGGGAAACACAGTCAGCACAAGAGACAGGGAAACACAGTCAGCACAAGGGACAGGGAAACACAGTCAGCACCAGGGACTCGGAAATAAAGTCAAATTTACCATGAACCATGATGTCTCCCTGAACGATGACCTTGCCGTGAAATGTTTTTGTTGCCTCAATGTGTTGGTCAGTGTGCAGCATCACAGCCTCCTCACTCACATCCCAGCCATTCAGCTGTACTCCATCTGCCATGATGACATCACCTGTTACACTCACATCAGACAGGAACACTTTCCGGCCCCTGACAATCTGGCTCCCTGAAACCTTTTAAAGCAATTTTTAAAGACACTGTATCAGTTTTGTAACAACAATATTGCTTCCATGTATTGTTAACTTAAACAATAAATTTTTCACCTTTCCAAACCTTTAAATTTCTACTTTTGAGAACAATTGAGTATTAGAAAATTTAAAAGGTAAAAAAATTTCATAACTATTCCAAATCTTTAAATGTTGTTTAAAACGTAGTTCAATAGCTACCATAGAACTTTTGTGTATCAATAACTACAGTGGGTGAATCACTAGATTTGAAGTGTTCATTATACTATCATCACCTTCAGAGAGTCAGCCTCTACCTCCAACAGGTTTACTCCATCCAACAAACCTATCAGACAGAAAATTTCAACTTTTATTAATGCAAGTGATGCAGGCATAGATTTACCCTTGCATCTGTATTCAATATGTAGATAAACATCCAACATCTATAGACTGCAAAATGTTTCACTTTTCACTAATATACATTTTTGGGGAGTTGCAAGCAAAGTAAACAACATTATCAACTAGAGTCCCACGATCTCATACCTTCGCCAAATGATCTGTATGACTGACAAAGATGATTCCTCCTGATTATGCAAATAAGATCCTCAATTGCATGAATTATATCAGTTGATCATATTCTCCATCAAAAGACAGCATTATCTTAACAAAGAAAGCCATTCTATCATTTCCTCATAAATTATGTAAATGAGGTCCTTATTTGAATAAGTTATGTTTGATGATGTTCACCTTCACTTTCAAATACCCCAAGTATGAAATTCCAGGCAGTTACCATTATGGAGTTATAACATTTTCTCATTAATTATGCAAATTAAGTGTTAATTTACATAATGAATATCTGCCTGTGTTTCTCTCATTCTTAATTACATATGTCACAAGCTTGAATAGTCCTATAATGTAATGCAGCTGATTTATAGAATTTCTTCATTAATTATGCAAATTACATCCATATTTGCATAATTGTCGCATAATTATGTCAAGCGTCACTTGACCTACCTACATACCAAAAATCATGACGATCCGTCCATCGGTTCTTGACTTATCCTCTTTTGAATATTTTCAAAGAAATGCCTCTGCAGTTCCTGAGCAAGCTGCTAGGGGGCCCAAACCTATGTCACTTCTTCCCCAGCACAAGGCCTACCTACCATCTAAATTTCGTGACCCTAGCATGTCCAGATCACTAGATATCAAAACCGGAAGTTCAGCTGCAGTACCATTAGAAGCCACTAGGGGGCCCAAAATCTAATCATTTTGAGGTCTCATCAAGACCTACCCACCTACCAAATATGAAGTCAATCCATTTAAGCCTTCTCAAGTTATCGTGTTCACAGACAGACACACAGACACACGAACGCCTCTGAAAACATAACCTTCTTGGTGAAGGTAATAAAATACCTATTAATAAGTAATAATAAAAAACAAGTCTACCGTCTCTCAGATTTTAATGATAAAGGACTTAGGGTTTGTAGGCTTTACCAGTAAATCACAAAATGAACTGTATTATTCCTCAGTCCACATTTTGCAACCATATGATGTGATTTCAAGTACCACAGAGTTTTTGTACTGTTTGCTTCAAGTTAGTGTATGGTTGACAATTTCACCTGTCAGCTGGATACTCCCTTTGACTTTGATGCCATCCAGAAAAGTCTTCTCACCAGTGATCACCTGGGCACCTGAGAAATTGGTCACAAATACTAAACTTGACCAACCAAATGAAAAGAAGTAACTTTGACTGAAGCAATTAAAACATCCTCGTCACTCTACAGGTTGTATACAGAGTAAGTCTGAAGAGATATCTATTTCATGATTTCTATGAGCTAGATATTAAAGCTGGAAGTTCAGCTGCGGTACCATTGAAAGTTGCAAACTAGTCCATACACTTACCAGACATCATGGCTACATCTGCCATGTTGATGCTGTTCACCTTCCCATGAATGACAATGTTCCCTTCCACCAACATACCATCAGGGCTGCTGAAACTTTTACATCCTTTACAAACAGGGGAGATACAAAAACACTTGAGTGGCAAAGCAGTCCTGTGGTTAGGGTTGAAGGTTCTAAAGGTTCTGGGTTCAAATCCCTAGGTAAGATAATTTTTTTTGGTCAATTTTACCAAGAAATTACCAGCAACACAAGCATTCATTTTGCTTTACAACAGAACATGTAATGGTAATGGTCTGAAGTTTTATGCCAGACTGAACTGAAGGATGTTTAGAAATTTACCTGTAACCAGCTGCTGCTTGTCCAGATAAATGGCCTCCTCCTGCATCAGGGTAAGATCCACACCATCCACCTGTCCTCCCCCCCACATGTTCCCATGTACTGTCACGGTGCTGTTTGTCACCACCTCGCCCAGGAAAGTCTTGGTGCCTGTGATCTCCTGTGTTCAAACAGCACATTCATTCACTGTTCATAAAGGTCATTAAAGATCCATTAACTAAAACATTGTGTTTTTATTGTTTAAAATAATCAGAAAATGTTGCATTCTGGTGTCATTGGAGTTTGTCTCTTTGGAAGTTATCAAATATGAGATGCCAATTGAACAGAAACATGCTACACATCAACCAATGAAAACCCACCACATATCAAACAATGAAAATGTGCTACACATCAACCAATGAAAAGCTGCCACACATCAACCAAGGAAAACGTGCACGTGCCACACATCAACCCACCTCATCTCCATGGATGGTGACAATTTGGCTAACAAATTCAGTCCAGTTGACTCCATTGACATTCTCCACAAACAAATTTCCGTGGATGGTCACATGACGCAGGAAATGTTTGGTCCCTACAAGGTGGAAGTGAAGACTTATTGTAGTTATTATTCACAATAATGAGTTTTAAAAAATCCTTGAGCAACATTTTGTTGAATGAGAATTGTCATAACTGACCTGAATTTTCTAATGAATGAGAGACAAAGTATGTACAGCAGTGTTAAGATGATGACTAACCTGAAACAACCTTGTTCCCTGAAACCATCACAGCATTGTCAACGCACTCGGATATATCCACACCATTGATAGTCCCAGTAACCTGTAGGTCCTGTGTGACAAACACAGTGTCCTCAAAGGTAAAGTCCCCATATAGGTCCTGGGGTTCATTCAAGGTCGTCCACTGTAGCACATCCTCTGACAAGTTTAGCCCATTCACTGTCTCTGCAGGCAAACAACATAGAACTGTTGTAAGAGGTCTATAGGTTTGTTTGTTTGTTTGTTTGTTTTATTTACCGGTAGATCTCTATTATGTCAGTTTCAAGGTCTTACAATTCGAGTTTGCCGTTACTGGCATTAGGCTCCCTAACCTTGTATCTCCAAGTCCTGATGCACAGTCACATTGTTTTGGAAGACATACTGTCCTGTGATGACTTGGTCAGCTGACACTGTCCACAGTTCCTCACTAATGTCCATACCCTGCACCATGTTGAGGACATGGATGTCACCCTCCACATGGAAACCATCCAGGAATGTTGTTGTACCTGTGATGACCTGGAGAAGAATGGACGATAGAAAAGGGTACTGAGCACTACAGGGTAATCTAGTGGCCCTCTGAAGTTGACAGGTGTTACAATAAACTTGATCCTTCAGTGATTTATATATTATTATGTCTTCTTAACAATCTTTGGATCATCTTCAAGGTCTTCATATTACTTTCCAATCGTCCCAAAGGTCTTTCAATAATCTTTTAAACACCTCCAATGGCTAAGTTTTTAATGAACTTTGTATGACCTTCAACATTCTCTTAATCATCTTTCACTGATCTCAATGACCAATGATGTTTGGTGATTGTTAATTGGTTGGCCTCAGAACTTGCCATGTACAGAACAGACCTGAGTTTGCCTGGTGCTGTAGACCATGTCCTGCTGCAGGTCAGTGATGTTGACCCCGTCCACCAGCCCCTTCACAAACAGGTCCCCCTGGACGACCACAGGATCAGCAAACACCTTGTTTCCTTCACATGCAGGAAAAAACAATTCCCAAGAAGGGCTTAAGTGTAACAGTTAAACCGCCTTGTAGTCTAAGATTTTATAGGGTTGTTTTGATGAGTATTTTGAGATACAAAAAATGTGTAGTTTCAGCAGACTTGCAAGGGATGTTCAAGAAAGATTGTGCACTTCTAGTTATTGGAGGAAGTGGAAATGTCCAATGTATAACAAACAATACACTTTTGTATATCCTGCCATTTGCATGATAAATGTGGAAATACATGTACCATGATGAATGATATGAAATTCATAATCATCGTATATTAGTTAACTTACATAAGTAGATGTAAAATTCATAGTATTAGGTGGTCTTAGACTCTTGCTGTATTACCACAAAAAATTACCCATTTGAATGCATGCATGCTGAACTACATGCAGGTATGTTACCCATGATGGGTTGATCCTCGTCAAGGTAGATAACCTCCTCCATCAGTTCTGATATGTCCACACCAGCTACAGTCCCATTGGTGATGACATCCCCTTCAACAGTCACCTGCCCCAGGAACACCTTCCTGCCTGTCACAGTCTGGGGGGTGGAACTCAGCATCATGTCCTCTACAAACTCCTGCAGGTCCAGTCCATTGACAGTTCCATTCACCACTGCATCTCCTACATGTAACAAAACCAGAGGCCATACCATTATATAGTACCTACCTCTTCTTTGTTATGCATAAGGACTCAAACTCAAAGAATTTTTATTTAATTCTTTATATTCAAAAGTCAAGCATGTTACACTGCATGCAGAATTCAAGACCAACAAAGTAATATAGACACTTACAAGATTTCAGTGGTAGAGTGTCAATACTAAATACCAACAAAGCAATGTCAAACATGTTCTAAGAATTGATTACCTCACCTTCCACAATGACCTCATCATGAAACGTCATCCTTCCTGTGATGATCTGGTCTGTGGACAAAGTGACTCGGTTGTCGGCTAAGTCGTTCAAGTCCACAGAATTAACCTCCTGCTCCACATGTAGACAACCCTCCACTGCCACCGCACCTTCCACCACCACCCCATTCTGGAATACTTTTGTGCCAGTTATTGTCTGGCTGCTGTTTAGTAAAACTGTATCATCAGACAGGTCGATGCCATTCAGCCTGCTGTCTTCACCCAAGATAAGATTGTTATCTACAAAGACGCTGCTACTAAAAGTCTTGTGCCCCCGGATGATCTGATCCCCACTGAGAGTTACCATGTCCTGTAGGAGTTTGGTCAAGTTCACACCATCAATAGTCCCCTTCACAGTTAAGTCTCCATAGATGGTTATAGGGGCGATGAAGATTTTATATCCAGTGATTGTCTTATTATCTGTCCTGTAAATAGAAGAGAGGCATCATGGATTTTTATAGTCATAAGAAAGGTTTTATGCAGTCCTACGACAAAACTGTGATGCAAAAGGACACTTTCTAGAGTCATGTGGCTGTGAAGTCACTTGTTTCATACTGGAAGAATCTGCTGAATCAGGCTGAAAAATTGAGAAAAAATTTGACAGGTAGATTCTACTATGTTGGTGATGACACTTCATATACCAGTATTACGCTTTGTATGATGTACCTCAATGAGGAATGAGATTTTGGACACTAGATTATTTGCTGTTACAGTGCATTTCCAAATGGCCTAGACAGGAAGGATTGGGGATATGTGATCTGTAACATATACTGGGACAACAGGCAAACTCAAGCAACAGCATTAGAAAATCAAGTTTCCATCACACCTGTGCACAAAGTCTTCCTCCATGTCGAAGCCGTTGATGGTCCCAGTCACTGTCAGTTCTTCTGTGACATTAACATCTTCACTGAAAATCTTCTGGCCTTCCACTTCCTTGGGAAGGAGATTGAAATAGATTATTGGAGGTAATTACATTAAAGACCATATCAGCAAAATTTCTTGAAAGTTTTTAATTAGTTTTCTCCTTTCATATGTTTAGAAAATCTCTTTCAAGCACCTGAACGTCTGGATAGTCGACGTAGATAACATCCTCTGCCAGCTCACTCAGGTCAACACCAGCCACTTCTCCAGACACCTGCAGGTTCCCTGTGATGTTCACCCCACTCTGGAATGTGTAGGGACCTACATGTGTGACAGAAAATATGATTGAAAACTTTAACTGTTGCAATATTTTATGCATGAGATGCTTAAACATACCCATAAGTTACTAGTCCAGTGTTTGGAGCCCCTTTTTCTGTTGGAACCCTCCACTAGAACATGAGCAGTAAGTTTTGTGTGCTGTCAAGCCACGGAGCAAAGCAGTTGGTAGTTACCTGTAAAATGAAATACCTAATAGTATGTAATCACACATGTGTGGCTGTAATGAGGTCAAAGCTTATTTTTTATGTTGATGGTGCATTCGCTTAGAACAGCATCTAGTTCTTGATACCTGTGATTACTTGGTCTGTTGTCAGTGTAACAACATTTTCCTGCAGCTCTCGCAGGTTTACCCCATCCACCGTGCCTTCCACAGTCACATCCTCCATCAGCAGCCCACCACTAAAGGTCTTGATCCCATCAATGTGGTGGTCTCCTGTGGCGAACAAAATTTTCATACAAGAAGAACTCTATATTGACGAAATAGCCCAGGTTTATATGTGTATGGAGATTCCTGTGCAATGACCAGATTTTCAGCACTAAGGACAAAAGCCAGTCAATGAGTTTTGTATGAAAATAAAAAATCTTGCTTACATTTACCAGCCTGCAAACAGTTACAGATGTGCTGCAGACATGTTTTTGCTCTAATAAGAATGAGGTTTCCTATTCTATATGGATGCAGTGGCCATAGACACAGCCCAGGAAGTTCCCAGATAAGAGAGCTGTGCCACATTTATTTTCCTGGCAGTAAGTGGAAAACATGAGACAGAGAGGTAATGTTAGTTTGTAAGTGTCAAGTGACACCAATCTGGCAAAGTAGTAGACCATCATTTCATACTGTTATTGTTACTGTTAGAGATTTGCTTTTTCAACTCCACTCATAAGCTACAATTTTCTCTCACTTACTTTTCTAGTTTTATAAAGGCTACAAAATTTATCAAAAATTTATCAGACATTTAACAAATGATCAAGAGAGGTTAACCATATGACACAATCACATAAATCAGAAAACAATACCTGTGAGTGTAACAACCTCTTCAGACAGGTAAGTGCCATCAACTGCCCCAGTCACATACAGATCTCCTAGGACAGTGACATTACCACTGAAGGTCTTATAGCCAGTTATCACACCAGGTCCTGACAAGAGAAAAACTTGAATTGTGTATCAGTTGTGTCTGCATACCCAGCATGTCAGTTCTAGGATAAAATTTGCATGCAAAATTTTCTTTTTCATCTGTATTCTCTACCGGGTAATTACACTTTTAGCAAAATGGCGTCTTTTGGTAAATTTTAAGTCTAAAGTGAGAAGGGACTCTTGGTACACACCTGTGTGAAAGACTAGATCTTCCTGCAGGTCAACATCATTCAGGTGCCCACTTAGTTCTATGTCTCCGTACACCTCTACATCATCCTCAAATATCTTGTGTCCAGTCACCTCTGCTGGTTCATCTAATTTGATGACTCTTTCATCCATGTCGGAGATGTCAATGTCATTCACACTCCCTGTGATGGTCAGGTCACCGTCAACTATGAGGTTCCTGGTAACTGTCTTGGCTCCTACATACAACAAACAAGTTATTAGGATTGTTCTTTATTTAGATGAGCATGGGTATTTTGTCTGTTCTATAACCATACCTGAGAACCACTCACATATATCTGGATTGCAATTTTGTCATGATTTTGAGCGCCCCATATGGCATGTGGCACTTCACAAAGTCAATGATGATCTGTTGGAATTGTGGAAAATATCAGTGACAGTCTACAAGAAGTTCAACAAAAAGGTTCACCTGTGATGATTTGGTCCCCATTGATGGTCAGCACATTCTTGGACAGTTGAACGATGTCCACATTGTCTACTGTGGAATCGTTGGCCAAGACAATGTCTCCTCTAAAGTAGAGGTCATCCAGAAAAGTCTTTTTACCTGATGAGATCAAATAACATGAATTTCATTGGTGCCTGGGTTAAAAACTAGTCAAGATCCTGAAAGTAGATACATGTACAAGTTTAATATAATGACATGCAATGCACAATTACCTTCCAGTACACCAAATATACGTCTTCTTGACATTCATCTTGAAGTCATTTATACTGCTTTTAAGCTATGGCTGCAGCGACATCAATTTGAATTCTTAGTTCATTCTTTTGTTGATGTGCCATGTCTTCATAGTTTTTATGGCTTTTCCATAAAATTCATTGTTCCTGTTGTAGGCTGTGAGTGAGAGTATGATAGTTCTAACCTGTGATGGAGTGATTTCCAGCCAAAGTTACTACATCCTCAGACAGGTCCACTCCATTAAGCATCCCTGTTAGTTCTATGTCTCCAATGATGTTGACATTGTTGGAGAACGTCACTAAACCTGACATGCACACAGTAAAAAAAGAACTTGTTTTTCTTAGTGTAAACTTTGCCTTCAAGTATGTTCATCATCAGTATATTACTGTCCTGACCTGCCGACCCCTGTGGCAGAGACACTAGCAGCAGAATAATCAAATCCTGAATAGTGAATGAGTGACTTCATTTTTTTTTATTCTATTGAAACGAATACATGGAGCAGGTGTCAATAACACTACAGTTTGTCCATGACAAGTTACATTGTATGTACCTACAGTGTGTGTATCTACAATCTTACTTAACATTACCATTCTGTGGAAGAAGTGAAAACTGATACATCATCTACTAGTACTGAAAGAGATTCCTGTTATACACTCAGGTAAAATGTAGCATTCTGGATTTTCAGGAGTAATGACATCTTTTGCCAACCTGTAATGTTCTGCGGTGTAGCAACAGTCATGGCATCTAACGACAAGTCAACTCCACTGTATCTCCCACTGACATTGAGATTTCCCATGATGAAGACATCTCCATGGACTTCCATACTTCCCCTAATCTCAGCTTCTCTCTCTGAGTCTAGCCTGAAGAAACCACAATCAAGAGATTTCTATACTTACACACTAGCACTGAGGTTATGATATGTTAAGTTCTGACTAGCAATGACAGCAATTGACAACAATGACTATTGTAAGTTGGTTTAAACTTCATCTCTCAGAAACTTGTGCAACTGTGACCTGAACCATCATAAAATAGCATTTTTTGACAAAATGACAGTCCCAATTGATTTATTGGCAGAGGTATGAGGTCATCACCTGAGTACTTCCTGTTGGAACTTTGGGATGTTCACCCCATTGATTGTCTCCAAGGTAATCTTCTGTGCTGTCAGATCACCATTCAGTACCACCCTGTCCTGCAGCACCAGGTCCCTGGGAACCTCCTGGGCTGTGTCTATGGCCACAGCATCTATAGAATGGGAAACATTGTTCTCTTTAGAGTAATAACATTACTGCAGCACATCTGTAACTGGTAACTGTATCAGAAAGCAAGATTTTCAATTTCTATGCGTGTCTCTAACTAAAGTATCACTGAATGGCTCCTGTCCTTAGTGCTGAAAATCTGGTTATTGCACAAAAAACACCATGTAGTAGAAACCTGGGCTATGGCATCAAAATCAAAGAGTTCTGCCTACCAGTAATTCCACCCAGAGTATGTCACATTTAGTTTCATGGCAAGTTCAAGTTCAATAGTCTGCAAATTCCCTAGATGGGACATCACGCAGTTTGGCTGTGCAGTAGTAGACTAGTAGTATCCTGAAAGAATGTCTATTATACAATAAGCTGTGGTCTGTACATGTCCATGCATAACATTACATGTAGAATGCAATAGAATATCGTATGGACTGGAGTAGAATACAATCAAGAACAGCTATAATGACCTTGTAGCCTCCCCAAGATGCTCTCTATAGCCTCTTGCTGTGTTCCAACTTGAGTTTTCATGGTTTCCATGGAATTCAGCCTCTTCTGATATAGAGATCTTTCAGGTACATCCACTACGGTTGTCCCTGAAGATATACACATATGAATTATGAATATACATGTATCACCAGTATAAATCCGAGTATAGCCATCCAAAATATCCATAACGTTGATTCCCATGGCATCAAGTATGGCCATATTTTACATCAACATGAACATGATTTTTTGATAATCTAAGAACCTTTTTTCATAATCAATGAGAAACCTTTTAAGGATGTTTTATAATACATCTGTCACAAAGCTCAACATCATTTGGCAAAGTTATGACGTTGCAGAAGTCTTAACTGTCATACTACCTCACCTACTGTGATATTTTTAGCAACAAGATGCCTGATGGTCACATTGCCAGTGAAGGTTTTTGTCCCAGTGATGACCTGATCCCCCATCTTTGATACTGGGTCTTCTGCTACACGTTCTGTCAGGGCCTGCACACTGCTACTCAACTCAGTAACGTTTTGCTGTGCAGAAAAAAAGGAAATCAACAACTGTTTTTTATATCAAACAACATTCAACAACACATTGTATCTAAAACTCCTTTGCTATCAAAGACCAAAGCATGCATAATGCTTTTCACACCTTAAAATGTTGTCTTACCATTCTACTGTCTTAAAACAGCTACGGAACACACATATACATGTACCTTCAGTTCAGTGATGCTGTCCAATATCTTCTGCTTTTCCACCTTCATGGAGCTGGGTAGATACTGGTCAGCCACCTCCAGTCTGTACAGCATGGTCCAGTTAGTATGGCCAACAGCCAAGTAGCTCTTGCCATGATGGGCAAAGGACAGAATGTCAGCAGGAGCATCAGCTGGATAGCCTGGTCCAACTGACAGAAATACAAGACTGTTAATAGGCCTGTGTGAGTGGCATACATGTATTGGAACTGTGGAAGGATTGTGTGATGTAGCTTAATCTGGCATTACACACAACCACACAATCCTGAATTCCTCCATGTACCAACCACTTACTCCCACCTGGTGCCACCATGTGCTGGCTTAACCTCTCTGTCAATCAATTAAAAAATGTGCACCCACTCTCCCTGCAGCTGTCTCTGCTTGACAGGCAAACACAAAAACTCAATTCCACCCACCTTAAGGTACTAGTAACAAACTTGCCACATTATTATCATTATTATCATGACATTAGTGACAGTCTGTTACATTGTAAGTGTACCTGGTAATTGTTGGTGAGCCAGTTCAAACTGTTGGTGCTGGTTGTTGTATTGGAAGATGCTGGTTTGAGGAGAATGGTCGGTGCCATGGTGAACAAGAGCAAGCAGTTTGGTTTTCTTACTGCCAGGAACCGAAATGGACTCAAACTTTTGACCTCTGTCTACTGAAATAGTTTGCAGCTCCTGAAAATTGTAACCTGGAAACAACATGGAATTAGTTTGAATATTTAGACTTAACGCACATTTGAATATCTGTATTTTGTGCAGATAGCATGGTGCTAAAACACTTACTTAATAATACATACATACATACATAAATTAATGCTATAGAAAACAAAAAAAATTCTAGACAAAGGTAATAATGTTGGACCTCAGGTTGTTTGAAAGCACAGTTTTTTTTGTCTTTTATCCATTACATGACATATTGGGCCACTAACAATGAACCTGGTAAGAACACACGGCAATATGGTTGTCAGTTAAAGTGAAAGCAAGATTTCTTGTCACATGCCATTCCACTTGAAGATGTATGATGGCTGCATCTCTCCAAGCCTGCCTGTCGCTGCTTCTGCAGTACCAGAGCGTGCTGCTAGGGCCAGGTATGGATCCTGTCCTATCCGGAAGTACTCGACATCTACTGCTCCCTTCACATGAAGGCTAAAAAATATTGTGGATACATGTACAAACTGACCACTTACTTGTTCACCTAAAACACATTGTCTGATAACACTCATCCTTAACAGCTTTCAGAAATCATCTACACACAGTAACAGTATGACTTAACAACCAAATGTAAGAGACCTTTGGCTAAAGTCAGGTATAATTGAAATTCAGGATGCTGCATGGTTTGAATATTAAATAATGATAAATTTTCTTTGTTCACTTGGTAATAACATCATTAGTGTGTGCAAGTTGATTCATACAGTGTGTAGCCCTCTTGCAAAATCTATTTCATTTAAACAGAGCAACTCCACCTGCCTTTGCAGATGTTGAAATACATCTCTATGTTTGTTGTATTTGAGAACTGTTGATCGGGACACCACTTCTCCCCAGTAGTCAGACTGATGTGCGATGACCAGGAACATCTCACTGTTGATGAGGAAACTCTCTGCATCCTGCCCTGTCTCTGGGACCACCGAATTGTGGCTCATGTGGTGGAACAAACACTGGCCATGGGCTATGGAGGAAAAGCATACCGTCTTTACTTCTGTGCCAAAACTGCAATGACATAGACACAGTTCTGTATCTAAACATTTATCAATTAGTTGAGTTTTCCCATAAACATTCTAATTACATTAGACCAGTCTGTCTCTCTTCACAAGCTAACAAAAAAAACTTTCATGAACACTTCATGTCATGCTCTAAATTGGATCTTGTTTATACAGACAAGTCCTTACAATGTTTGTCAATTTGCCAGTGATACACAGGTACTGTCAGCTGGCCATCCCCAGTGGGCAGCATGGCTCCCTTCTCCAGCAGCACCAGTAAGAAGAGCGGGTCTGTGGGTCCTTCCTGAGGGGTGTGGAACAGGTGCAGTCCTCTGGTCCGGGAAGAGAAGTGGAGAGTCTGCACAGGTGTCTCAGGCTGGGAAGATAAGGGCAGGAAAGAGGACAAGTGATAATATATTACATTTATAATGATAAAACAAATTGTGAAAGAGTGATGGAATACATTCATCAGTAAGACTTATTATTATGCCATTTCTTCTAGTCAGTGCTTACATATGGCAAATAAAACATAAATTTGTCCTAGAAAACTGTAGGAAACTCACTAGGATAAATGAAGGCATGATGACATTATATATCCTCACTGTGTAGTCTGACAAGACTACACAGTACAGCCTCACGTCAGGGTCACCCTCTCCAAAACAGTTGGAAGCTGCACTGAAGTATCTGAGCTGCTTTACTGACTCTGAAAATACAGTCCTATAGAATGAATTATACATGTAACTGAAGGGGAGGTGCTCAAGGCAAAATAAAGGAAACTGGTACGATGGCACCATGTTTAGTAAAGCCCACTTCTGCATTTATATTAAGTAACTCTGTGCATAGAAGTAATAGGTAGACTGCTCTTTTAAAACCATCAGACCCAAGAGAGAGAAGATAGGCCCCTTTATAGCCTTGCCGGTCTTGCCCTATGTAGAATACTCCAGTTTAACGGTACATGTACTTCAACGACTCAAGCTCAATCCAAGATCCAAGATTAAGGAGAACACAATAGTGAGCATGACCAATGCTTGCTCTGTGGGAGAAGAAAGCAGACCTAGTACCAACATCAAACTCACCTCCACTGATGTCCAGCTCAGCTGTCCAGTTGAAGTGACCAGTGGTCATGTTTAACATGTAGACCTCGGCCTTGCCATCTCCTGTTACCATGGTGATGAACTTGTGTCCATTATACTCCAGATACTCCAGGTCAGTCAGCCCAGGCAAGTTGAAGGATTGATCCACAACCACGTCTTCCAACAGTATGTCTGTAGGAGGGAGTACAGATAAGGTACAGATAAGCAAGCCAGGATATACATGTAGTAACCATGGGTATATTCTGGCCATGGGTATTATTTGTCTTTCAGAAAGTTTACTTTGTTAGAGCAAGAACTGTAGAATATAAATGGTTACAAGTCAATGATTTGTTTTTAGTTAAAGGCATTATAAGTTATATTAATAAATGTCTGCAATGGATATTTGTCACTATCAGACTTTCTATCCAAACTGTGAACTCTCCAGTATACTAGTAAATAAACCAGTCTACAAACAAATACTAGAACTTTAAAATAATGCAATTGCAAGGCGGAGAAAAAAAGGTTTGGGATATTTTTTTTTACCTCTGTCACGTCCAGCCTGTGTTGGGAAGGAGAGGGGATGGTACAAGTTTGAAGCTGTGATGTCAACACTTCTACCAGGCCTCTGCAAGGGGACTGGAAGCTTCCCTAAGAGCATCATCTCAGATCTTGCAAGTTCTAACCTAAAATTCCTTAGTTCCGTCTTCAATAAATCCTGTAACAAGGTTTCACATGCCAAGATGATACATTGCAGTTATATCTGCTGCTGTGCTGAAATGTATAAAAGGAGATGGATATTTGAAGTTTGGAGTCAAACTTAAATACTCGAAATGACATACAAACTTGACCGAAGCACTTTACTGATCAATGCAAGAAATAAAGTTAACACTACAAGAAGTAGAAAACCAACTGGCATTAGTGGCCCGTTAGTCAGAAACAGTCAGTAGAATAAAAAATGAGCTTTCAGTCATTGTATCATATTTTGGTTTAAATTTAGTTTTGTGTAATGTAAAACTATTTCACCTGTTCTGTCAGTGGTGGGGTGGCATCACGACCATGCTGCGAGGCTGCTGTCTGCCACACCCACAGGAGAGTGCACATGATGAGCTGCATTGGGTCTGTCCTGGTTGGGAGTCAAACTGAAAGATTTTTTTTTTAGTTAGGCCATGTTGATTTGATTATATGGATGACATCCACGCGCGCATGAATTTTCCGCCGTTTCCAAAAAAAAAAAAGTTTTCAACCATACTGTAAATCGTACAAAACAGTTGCAAAATGAGCAAAAATATACCATAAGTTACACAAAAATTAATAAAAACTATACCAATGTCGTAGAATGCCAAAATCAAACGAAAAAATACGAAATTGTAAAGAAATGAACTTGAAGACTAGATTATTCGCCAAACCATATTCTGTGTCATTTGCTCAACCCTCATGACCACGTAGACTTTGTAACAGTGCTAACTGACCATGAAAGAACTTTTTTTTTTGCAAAACTTTTTTTTTATTCGCACGCGCGCATCAGTTTTGGGGCTCCCGGAGGATGTCATCCATATAATCAAATCAACATGGCCTTATTGATGTAACATGTTACATGTAATTAATTATCATCATCCTCATCATTGTACGTAATACCAAATTTCAGGTAACTGTTAATTGGTATTTAGAGGGAAATGTATGATGGTTAACTTATGAAATTTAATGACTTTGAAATCTTCTAGATTGTACCTACAATAGTCACAGTGGTATTGTCGTTTGATTAATATGTTAGTAGAAGTTAAGTATTATAAAGAACTTTCCAGGCAGATGTTGAAATGAAAGATCGTGATACATGATGTTTTGAGCTCTCTGAAACCATGGATTTACCTCCATGCTGAAACTGTGACGGCTACCGTAGGTCGAGGTCGGGAAGGCAGATTTTGTTTACAGATTAGAGCATGGATGATTAGAGTAGTAACTTACCATGAAAAGTCCCGGAGGGAGAGGACCAGCAAGAAAGGCGTGTCCTGCTGCTGCACAGCGTGTTGCCAATTAACGCCACCGGGCTTCTGGGAAATGTTTCCCAGCTGGAACTTGTCCGCTTTTAATACATTGTAATAAAGATATGTGAATAAATAATCCTGCGGGTGAATAATCAGGTGCACTGTACGTAACTTCCAGAAGCAGGACAATCGCGAAACTTAAATATGCAGACCATCTTCAAGTCCGTCCGACCCGCAGACTCTTTGAATGGAACAGATGTTGTTCCGGCAGCGATTCCAGAGAGACCCAAAAACCAAGGAGGTTTGCAGAAGCATAACCATGGAGCCACGTCTAATTCATCCCTAAGCATCCTGATCAGATAGAAGGTAAATGAACAAGAGGCTCTGCAACTCAAACCAATCTTCACACGTTCAGATCGGCGGCAAAACTGATTGATGAGCAGCTCCAACTGGAACTAATTTAAAGTACCCGCGTATTGGTCATCGGACGAGTCCAATTTGGATGACGGGGATTCAGACGCTAACTTCTTTTTCCCCCTAAATATGATTGAACTGAACGATTCTATCTGGTATGCTTGAAAACATTTTATTTAATACGATTTAGCTTATTGGCTTTCTATATCACTACAATTGCACATGTACATTTTATATTTAATCATATTTTGCTTTTGCAATGGTATAATCTACTTTGACCTTTGTCCCATGACCTACTAAAGAACGATCGGATAATGATGAACACAGACAGTGTTCGTCATAGCTGTGCAGACAATGGGTAAACTTAGGAAATTCAAAAGCTAGAACTGAAAGTCGGTGAGCTCGAGTCTCCTGTGAAGGTTGATAAGCTGGAGGACGTTTTTCTCACAAGCACAAGCCATGCGTCCGCAGCAGAACAGAGGCCAGGTCTACAAGTAAGGAAATATAACGTTATGCCAATTTTATATTATTAGCCAACATTTTTGGTTGCAAAACTGAAAAGACAGAGGCCAGTCTGTCCACACGGTTGCCAGGCTAATCAATAAGAATTGTTTTTTCTCTAAATACTGATAGGCTAAATTTGCCAATTAGAATTTTTTTTTTCTTTTTTCGCTGTTTTTAGCCTGTCAATAATTTTTTTTTAAATTTACACTATTGACAGGCATAAAATTTTTCAGAATTGACAGTTTTTATACTAAACCATATTTTGGGCATTTGAAAACAACTCAAAAGGCATTATACGCTGACACTATTTTGACTGTCTCCTTTCACCCCTTTATTATTCCAAGGACATCATATATAGTATTTTATGTTTACCGAAGGAGAACATATTGTTTTTGCTCCATTTCTTCTTTTGTTCCAAACACTAACCTCTGACCTGACCTGGCCAATGGCCTCTTTTCTTTACGTCTGTCACTATAGTAACTGGTGTCGGGTTACACAATGTGGCAATTTCATAGTAGGCATTTAGACTCCTGTCACCATATACATGTATGTGAATTTTCTTTGAGTAAGAATTAACAGAGCAGACCATATCCGAAGGTAAACATTATGCATTTGCTTTGCAAATGTTACCTATCTAGTTATACAGTGTATTCTATTTGAACCAAAACAACACATCCGGCTTGCTGTGGGACAGGATGTTATACATGTATGGAACTCCTGTGCAGTGGGCACAGAGTGACAGACGTTTCCCTACCATGCCAGGTTCCCAAGAATCATGAAGCTCTGTGTGCCTCTGTATAAGTGGTAGAATAACCTAGGTCAAAGAGTTTCCTTTTGCTATGACTTAAGCAAGGAGGTTTTAAACCTTCTTGTTTTAAAAAAGAAGCAGGAGGATACAGGATATTTGCATCACACAAGGGGAACAGGACATTTCAAACTGCACTGCACTGGCTTGAACCGCTCTGGACTCAACTACCTGATCAGAATGTCGTGATCACTTGTGAACTGCCATAAACTGCCTTGTCCAAGAAATATGAGTCTTGGTCCTTTCAGATGGGTCAAGACATACCACCACTAGCCGCTCAATGTTCTGGGTGTACAATTGAACAAGGTGCTTTGGGTGCTTTATTAATCCTCCATTAGCAACATACAAGACAGTAGTACAAGATCAAGTATACAGCTAGTGTTCCTGGAGTTAAAGTACTTAAACATCATACAAATACACTACATCAAAATTGAAACATTATTTACATACAACTTAACATATAACTTTATATTTAAAAGTGACATCACATGTGCCTATCAACCATCTACGTTTGTGCTCTATCAACTGCTGCAAGGTGTTTGGACTGGATAGCTTTTTGTCACCAATCCATAGCAATGTATGATACTATCAATCTGAAAAATATTTCAGGTCTGCCTCTCCACCAGCCCCCTTTTCCAGAAGCCAGAACAAGATGATGCAGTAGCAGCAGCATGGCAGGATGGTTACGGGTGGTCCTCCCAAGGCTGCGTCTCAGGAGGCTCTTTCCAACAAGATGGAGTGCAGCTGTGTTCCTAGCCTACATGATATTATTTATCAATCAAGGTAAGAGTAAAGATATGGTCAGATGCACCAAGAAGCTATCCCGAAATACAGCTCTGTATGCTATACCTGCCTTACTTTTTCCTCCTTATGAAGGCACAGTGGATGTAAAACAGTGTGGCTTTTTTAATTAATTATGCAAATTAGGCCCTTATCTGTATAATTCTTATCTGTTAATGTTTCACCTCCACAGATTACATAATTGTTACTTGTATTACTGTTGTATTATGTAAAATACTGGAATGATAGAATCTCCTCATTAATTATGCAACTGTCCTCAAGTGCATAATTCATATTTGATTGTGTACATGTCTGTCGCGAGGGGTCTGGCATCCAGACTGGTAGTGACTATGAATTGAGCATGTAACATTACAAGGAGATTCAGACACTGTGACAGTAGAGATTTCATGCTGCTAGAATCATAGTCTAGATACTGATAGAATTGCAATTAGCTATAGGGTTAGGGTTTAAGTCAGGTTACTATAAACAGATCTCGAGACTCTCTCAGTGGTACCACCCATTATAACAGTAGATCTGGATCTGTGGAACAGCTCATTGTACCAGAGGGGATATCTGTATTGAACTGGCCCCTTGTGTACCAAACTTTCCTTCATTAATCCCCCCTGGCAGGTGCAGGCCCTCTAATCTGTGCCACTTCAGGTCCACTTCAGATCTGTATCCTGGACTGAGAGTTGTTGTGGACACACCCTATAGGCTGGAGTAACAAATCAATACATTTGAATGAACTGATCAGGCCACATATCCTGTTAGAAACATTCTTCTTTTTCTTGATTCTTCCATTTTTGTTTATAATATATATATAAACAGAAAAATGGAAAGCAATAACAGAACTAAGTTTGTCATATAAATTATTCATAATGCCCTGTTTCTATCAGCTTGTGCTTTTGTTTTTTTTATAGTGTCCAAGATATTGATTTTTGAAGCCCACTTGTTGAACGGGAAAATAGGACTGGGTAGGTTTACTTCCCCTTTCCCATAGCTATATGTGATAATCGTCACCATGCAGTTCGGATGTCTTGTCGGCGAGAAATTCTGCTTCCCCAATGAGAAGAGTTTGGTCATCTTTGTTTGTTACTTTTCTGCCTTTGTTTTACATGGTAAGGTATATGCTCTGTTATTCATTTAGGGTTGTCCTGCCCCAACCATTTGTAACATTATTTTTTTTTGTACAGTATTACCTGCTGCCACCTAGTCTATGCAGGGAATTGGCACAGTGCCAAAAATTCAGTTTCACAAGATGGTGTTCCATTCATTGTAATTTTTTTTTAAATTACTGGATAATTCCAATAAGTAACGTTATATGTACCCCTTGTCTTGGACCGAATTAACAACTTATCAGATGACACTCTTACTAGACCTGTTACACATGCATTAGACCATAGCAAAGCTAAGCATGCTTGCATATAGTTCGTCAAATACACCTACCAATTTTAGACCAATCTTTGTCTGAATTATCAAAAACAACACTGTTATCTGAGCAGCATTTGGTCTGATACAAATTTTACCCTTTGGAATAAATATTTAGTTCTCAGCAATTCACAAAAAAATGACAAAAGATGAAAAGTGTTGAATTACATTTAATTTAGTATGTGATGTGTGAAGCTTGTTGTTACAGGGGAACTCTTAAATAACTGTTAGTGTAACCACATGGTGTCTTGTGTAAGACTTAGTACAACTCTGCACTGCATGGATTTGCACAATGTAGCTGAGGATAGAGTTTTCTAGATCTTCTCTGTACATTTTGTTACATGAGGGCCTGCATGGGGGGTAGTGATTACAAATTACGCAAAATTTTCACTGCCGATACAAATTACTTTTAATTCTCAGAGCTCATTACAAACAGTTACGCCCTACAGCTAATGTACTGATTACAAATTACGATGATTTTGAGCGACTGACTACGGATTACAAAGATTGAAAAAGGAAGATTACAAAAAAGGGCATGCAGGCCCTCTTATAGTATCGTGCCCTCAGGTGGATATGTGTTTATTTGTGCAGGAATCCTGGTGACTGCCAGTCGGAAGGCGGACAATACTTATCCCTACAACACAGTTACTGTGGTGATGATCACAGAGATCTTAAAACTGATGGTTGCCACACTGCTGTATGTTAAAGAGTGAGTATAATTTTCCAAGTTGTCAATGACAGCATAAAATATGTAATATATCATGTTACTAAAAACACTCCCTCCAATGTCATCACAATACAAAATATTACAGTATTATAAACTGATATTAACTAGAGAATCTTACATTTTTTTAGGAAATACAGCATATTTCACTCCATCTCCCTCCTATGTAAAGATGGACTCTTCCATATTGACCCTTTACTGAAATCACCATCCCAAAGTAATCATCAGCAGATAACTTCATCATGTCTAATTCTAAGTCCTTCCTTTCTTGACAGCAACTCATTTCAGGAACTGCTAAGAGTCATTGTGAGGGACAAGAAAGGTAAGGGAAATATTTCTACTGTGTTAGACCATGGCATAGCTTTGGATGCTATTATTGTACTATTATATATCACTACAATCAAATTTGTGTTCTGATAATGAATACAGTTTCTCATTTGAGACTGTTGTATCTCCTCAGTGTTAGTCTTGTATGTGGTGCCAGCATCGCTCTACTGTCTGTACAACAACCTCCAGTTTGTGAACCTGGCTGTGTATGACCCCACCACCTACTACCTACTGCTGCAGTTCAGGGTTGTCACCACCGGAATTGTCTTTCAGGTAAGTTGTAAATATCTTGCCTTTGTATCTTCAGTCTAGTCCTTGCTGGTTAGAAAATACATGTACAATGTACCTAGAAAATGCGTACATCAAAAAGACCTGGCAAAAAACTCTTTACATCTGTACTTAATAGAGAAATAGTATAATTTAAGGGGAGAGATGGATTCAAACTTCAAATTTAAATCAAAAATTAAGTAACCCCTTAACTATCTTACATTAATAAAATTATATCCACCCTACCTAAAATAAACCCAGTATGCAGTGCGACTTACTGAATTCCTTGTTTCCATGTAGATTCTGTTCAAGAAGACACTGAGTAGACTGCAGTGGTTGTCACTAGTCCTGCTGACTATCGGCTGTGTAGTTAAACAGATCAAGCATGACACCCATATGAGAGATGTGGTGTCGTTTGGCGGCCAGTCTCTCAGTCTCCACCTGAATGCCAACCTGTTACACATCCTTCTCCAGGTAATGACCTTCTCTGGTTCTTCCCATTTCTTACAAATGTCAGGAACTGAAAGGTTATGTTTATTCAGCCGTGACTGCAGTCCTATATTGATGTGTACACTGCAGGTGGAATTGTATGTTTATTGTGCATTGTATCGTATTTGTATTGTATACTACACTTTGTCTAACTCCTTTTCATGGAGGTAATGATACAGACTGTACCTCAATGTTCAATTTTTCAACAACCCTCAGTGAGTTTGAATGGACTTCAGTCAGGTTTTCTAACACCAGTCAGCAATCTTACTGCTTGCAACAATTACTATTCTATCGGTTGATTTGTTCATTAAATGAATATTTTGGTATGTGTACATATGATGCTGTTGTTGTTGAAATGTGTAGCTCTTCTATTTTTCAGGTGTTCTGCTCATGCTTTGCTGGTGTGTATACTGAGTTCCTGTTGAAGGGAGAAAAGTCCAGTCACGTGCCCCTCATGATGCAGAATGTCTTCATGTACCTGGACTCCATCATATGCAACATGTGTGTGCTGGCCTACACTGGCGACCTGCTGTCTGCCTTCACCACAGAGAGCATCAACTCCATACTTCAGCCGACTGTCCTTCTAGTTACCCTCAACCAGACTGCCATAGGCATCATCACCAGTCTGTTCCTCAAGAGTCTCAACTCTATACTCAAGACCTTTGCTAGTGCTTTAGAACTCATGTTCACAGCAGTCTTATGCTGGTATATCTTTGGCATTCCTGTTGATATCTTTACTTTCATTGCCATCGTGATTGTTTGTCTGGCCACCTTTCTCTATTCCCTGAACCCTGTTGTCAATCCAGCTCCAACTAGACAGACAAGGGACTCTGACATGGAACAAGATGGCAAACAGAATGGACCTGGGGTTTAGTTCTTTGGGGCTTATTAGAAAATGCACTATGCTTCGTCTTAAGTATTACACTTATTACACCAGTTTGATGGAAGAGAGAGAGACGGGGGGAGGACAGTATGGAGTCTAGAAAGAGCAAGGTTATAGGGGAGACTAGAACCTCCTTGGGAGGAGGGATGGAGTCTAGTTAGAAGAGAGGGATGGAATCTGGGGTGAAGTGGTGGTTGGGACAGAATGTTTTCCTCACATTTTAAACTTCTGAAAACGTTGAAGAGAAACAGCATGGTCTAAAACATTCCCAAATGTTATAGATACCATAAATATTGTATGTTGCTTACAGTTCTAACTTGCACATCAAGTTACTCAGATGATAATACAGATAATACTGGGTGATACTGGGAATGCAGGAATACTAGTTGAGGTGTATCGTCTGTGTTTCAAGTTGTTGCATATGTCACATTGACATATCCTGTATTTGTCATGATCAGTATTTCAAATTGCTATTGTACTGATGTAAATAGTTGACTTTCAATATGGCATTTCCATGTTAGTCATTGTTGTTGAATTAAAAATGTGGCAATACTTCTCTTAACTACAAGATCATTTTTTTCTTAGTACAGTCAAACCTGTACTAGCGGTCACCTTGGCATTGCGGTCACCCGGCCATAGCGGTCGGTTTTTGCCGGTCCCTTGAATTTTTCCCATCGACGTAAGCATTAAGAATCGCGTATATAGCGGTCACTGTTCAACGCGGTCAGCGGTCACCCCATTCCGGTCCCGCCGGCTGTCAACATCGCCGATAGCGGTCACGGCTGGCCGGCTGTTACCCGCTAAGCACCACGTACGTAACACCACCCGACCTCGGGCTACGGCCGTTAGGACGTTCAATCAAGCCTCGTGATAATTTTGTGGCCGCTACATTATTAAAATGTGAACTGAAATTAGACTCCAGATGTGTATGAAATAAAGGAAAACTTGATTTGAAATAAAGGAAAAGGAAAACAAGAACAGTAAATGGCAACCAGTGATTTTGTATATTTTAGTGGGAAGGTTTCATAGTCCCAGTAGATCAACTGAGTATCATGTCGAGTGCATGCAGTTTTGATATATAATTTTTTTTCAAGCCCACAACTAAAGCAAAAGAACAACAATTGAATTATAACATGTAATGTTACATTTGAAAAGAGACTTACCTGTGCAATGAATGTTTTCATATGTTTGAGAATAAAGACATAAATACATCTTTGTTCAATGGTACTGAAAGCATGTGTCACTTGGGGGGGGGGGTGCAGGGGCAACTAACCGCCATTTCTCTATAGTGGTCACCTGGCCATAGTGGTCAATTTTGGCAAGTCCCTTGAGTGACCACTATAGACAGGTTTGACTGTACTCCATTCCCTACTCATTACATTGATGAGGGTATACTAGTATAACATCCTGTATACATCTATGTGTACCTTAGGAAGCACTTAGAAGAGGACCTGAGTGATGCACTAATTCATGTCCAGTGTCAGTTTGAAATGGCAGAAGTTGGCAGAGCAGGGAATTAGCTTTCATTGCACAGACCTTGTTGCATCTCATCTCAGCCACCATCAGTACATCTACAGTACATGTATGTGATGTACATGTAAACTGATCTGTTTACCCTGGGTTTTCTATTGACTCCAAATGTATCCTCTTGTCTAAACCCATCTACATGTACATGTACATGCATATGTAACCATCATCGATCTCAATCATAAGACCTACTGGATACCACAGCTACAAGGTCTCTTTATGTATTATGCCCAAACCTTAAGAAAAGTCAGATACAACTGATTTATCTAAGCACAAAGTTTATTTTTCAATGTACAGTAAAAAGATATTTGCCTCATACACACTTGTTAAAGCAAAAAACTTGACTTGTTAAAGCATTCCCATCAAACAACAAAATATAGAACACCTAACCATAACATTTCTGTGATCACAGAAGTAGGAAGAATGAAAAACTTTGTACAGTGATCATAATGTACATAAATGTGTATTTCTATACAAGAAAGAATCATCACAATCTTATCCAAGATTTACCAAGATAAATGCAGAAAACATTTTAAACCTCTCAGATTTCATGACGTAGAATTCTAAATACACCAACTTGAAGATTTTTGTACTATAATAGAATTACAGCAGTCATAAAAATGCCTATGCTCCTTGTGCAGTGGTACAGCAGTATTATTGATGGTGATAAACAGCTTCCCCTAAAGTCCTGTCAAATGTCCTCTAGTCGACTTGTGGATTGCTCTTGAAAAGATACTCAGCCTGGAACAAAGAGAGGAGGCCATGAGAAATAGTGAGATTGGTTCACTTACATCCAAACTAGTTCTGGGGTTTCTAAATACACCATTTCATTTAAGTTTCTTCTTAAACCAGGACATTCACTTGGGTTATTACAATGGGTTTTTAGGTTGCACCTGGCTTTCAATAACAATTGACCACAATATATTAATCAAAAACAACTAAAAAGGTAACATTTGCTAAGCAAAATGCATAATATTTACCCTCGCATATGTTCTGCTCTG